GGTTATGGTTAGAACCAAGGATGAAGAGTAGGCGAGGCTACCTCGCACGGTTGGAACCGATATGGAAAGAATGATTTGGACATGGCGGAGGGACTCAAAGCAACAAACGAGCAACAACCGCCACCACCACCAGTACCTCCACCTGCAGTACAAGATTTACATGTTGAGGACCGAACATCACACTCACAAAAGAGTTTTAAAAAGATGAAACCACCGTCATTTAAGGGGGAATAGACCTATGAAAAGCTCGAAAGCTATGGGTGCTGGGAAATAGAGAAATTGTGTTGAAGTATTTCCATGTACAGAAGCCCCAGAAAGTGCAACATTGCCGCCTTTAGCTTCTTTGAAGATGAGGCGCGAAGATGGTGGATGCTACAAAACAGGCATCGGGACTTACATGGATAGATTTCTGGAGGTGTTTTATGATAAAGTATTTTCCTCAAAGCATGCGAGAATAGAAGGTTGACGAATTGAGACTCTTACGACAAGGAAATAAAGACTGTTGCAAGAATATTGAGGCCCAATTTACTGAATTAGCTGTCGGTTGCCCCCTCATATGGTAGATACAGACTATAAGAAGGACACGAAATTTGAAGGGGGCTTACGGGGGGCCATTTTGGACCGGGTCAATGATGCTAAAATTTACCCACGTAATGTTGAGGTGCTAGAAAGGCTGTTAATTGTAGAAGGAATCTTGCGGCCAGAATCTGATTTCCGAAGTGGAAAGGGAAGAGACAAACAACCAATGGTCAAAGAGATCCGTTACTCCACCCGCTAGAAGCACAATTCAGGCGAGTTTCAGCACCACTACTTCTTACTCAAAGATTCCACTCCGGTGTGCCCAGACTGTGGAAGGCAACATCGAGGAACTTTATTGGAAGACTGGAGCATGTTTTAAATGTGGGAAAACGGGACATTTGGTAAAGGGATGAGACCTGCATTGGTTCAACAAAAAGGCAAATAGATCCGCTACAAGTTTCTGCGGGGTCTACAACTACCCCAATGTGAAGACGGCCTTTTTCCCAAACCGAGTAATAACAAAGACACTGCAAGACAAGGTAGGTGTGTTCGCTTTTGATTCCCAGTGATGTAGAAAAATACACCACAGTGGTGTGCAGGTAGCATCACTTTTATGGTCAATCTGGCATGGATTGTTTGATCTGGTTCCACTCACTCTTTTGTGTCAAACTCTTCGCTCCTAATTTAGATAAAATTGAAAAAACTTATCTTGCATGTTGTGTGTGTGTCCTCCCCTTGGAGAGGTCTATATATTTGTGTACTAAAGTATCTAGCTTGTGAACTTCAACTCGGAGATATTTGGGTATATGCTTAATTTAGTGGCCTCTCGATATGACCTATTTTGATGTTTTCTGGGGATGGATTGGCTAAGTGCTTATGGTGCAACTATAAACTGTGTGACTAAGCAAATCAATTCTTTATCCTCGGGGCAATCAGAGTCTGTGGTTCAAGGGCAGGAAGTGATTTCGCCACCTTATCTGAATCTGCATGAAGGCTTGCCACAACTTAATAACAGAAGGGCTGTCGGGGTACTATATGTAGCGTTTTAGAAGGCAGGGATGAATAGAATCTTGATGTGATCCCAGTGGTCCGTGAGTTTCCGGATGTTTTCCCGAAGAATTACCGGGCAACTAATAGCACGATGAAATTGAGTTTATAATTGAAGTTGGCGCCCGGAACCCAACCTTATCTCGAAGACACCCTATAGGATGTCACCAGCTGAAATGGAAAGAGTTGAAGATCAATTACAGGACCTGCTTGACAAGGGATTATCCGCCCGGTGTATTCCTGGGGTGCGCCAGTATTGTTTGTGAAAAAAGGACGACAGCTTCGGTTATGTATCGACTATAGGGAACTTGAATAAGGTGACAATAAAAATAAGTACCCTTTCCAACGGAATAGATGACTTATTCGATCAATTACAAAGGCACAGATTTTCTCAAAATTTGATTTACGGTCTGCCCATCAACTGAAGTTTAAAGCCGATTGACGTGGAGAAGAACAGCTTTTCGAAACCTGGACGCCATTATGATTTTTGGTTAGCCCTTCGGGTTACAAACGCACCCAGCAAGCATTTACTGGATCTAATGAATCGCGTCTTTAAGCCCGTAATCTAGATGAATTTTGTGGGTGGTTTTTATCGATGACATTCTTATAATACTCGGAGAGTGCAGAAGCTCATGAGGATCATCTTCGCTTAATTCTTCAAACACTCCGGGAGAAGAAACTGTATGCGAAATTGAAGAAATGTGAATTCTGGCTACAAGAAGTGGCATTTTTGGGGCATGTGGTGATGAAGGAAGGAGTCTCTGTTGATCCGTACAAAGTTGAAGCAATTGTGAATTGGCCAACTCCCACTAATGTAACTGAGGTACGAAGTTTCATGGGATTAGCTGGATATTATAGGAGGTTTGTTCAAAATTTCTCCAAAATCGCTGTGCCGCTTACCCAACTGACACGAAAGGGAGTTGCGTTCGAATGGTCAGAGGAACGGGAATCCGCTTTCCAAGAATTAAAAACAAGATTGACGACAGCACCAGTTCTGGCTTTGCCATCTGGTACCGAGGGATTCGTAATTTACAGTGATGCTTCGCATAAGGGGCTTGGTTGTGTGCTAATGCAAAATGGAAGGGTTATCGCCTATGCTTCTCGGCAACTGAAACCCCACGAGAAGAATTATCCCACACACGATCTCGAATTGGCGGCAGTAGTTTTTGCTTTGAAAATATGGCGGCACTATCTTTATGGTACAACCTGCGAAGTTTATACTGATCATAAAAGCCTCAAGTACCTGTTTACCCAGAAAGAGTTGAACATGCGCCAACGGCGATGGCTCGAGTTGATCAAGGATTATGACTTGCAGATCCAATATCATCCTGGTAAAGCCAAAATGGTGGCAGATGCACTTAGTCGGAAGAATATGGGGGACTTGGCCAATCTGTTGATAGAAAGAAAGGAGTTGAGGAACGAATTGGATAAAATGAATATGGACCTGGTGGTACGTGAACAGGAGGCCGTACTAGCAGCAGTAAGAGCTCAGCCCACCCTACTGGAAGAGATTAAGTTACATCAACTAGAAGATGAAACCTTAAAGAAAATCCATGAAGAGTTAGAGGCAACACCAAAAGCGGGATTCAGTTATGTAGATTCGGTAGTAAAGTTTCAAAGTCGAATATGTGTCCCTAATGTGTTGGAGCTTAAGCGGAAGTTGTTAGGAGAAGCACATGCTTCGAGATCATCAATACACCCGGGAAGTACCAAAATGTACCAAGACTTAAAACAAAATTTTTGGTGGCCAAACATGAAAAAGGAGATCGCGGAATTTGTTTCTAAGTGTTTGCAGTGTCAACAAGTCAAGGCTTTTCGGTGGCCAAATATGAAAAAGGAGATCGCGGAATTTGTTTCTAAGTGTCTACAATGTCAACAAGTCAAAGCGGAACATCAAAGACCAGCAGGGTTATTACAACCCCTTCCAATCCCGGAATGGAAATGGGAGCATTTGACCATGGATTTCGTTGTGGGGTTACCGAGGACTCCTCGAGGTATGAATTCGATTTGGGTCATTGTGGACCGATTAACCAAGTCTGCTCACTTCTTGCCTGTAAAGACTCAATATAATGCGGATAAGCTGGCAGTACTGTATATAAATGAAATTGTAAGGCTTCATGGTGTTCCAGTGTCAATTGTGTCAGATAGGGATCCCAAATTTATTTCAAGATTTTGGCAAAGTTTACAGGAGGCTATGGGTACCGAACTTACGTTCAGCACCGCTTTTCACCCTCAAACTGACGGTCAATCCGAGAGAACCATACAAACTTTAGAAGATATGCTCCGACTGTGTGTATTGGATTTTCAAGAAAGCTGGGAAACCCATCTACCGTTAATAGAGTTCGCCTACAATAACAGTTACCATTCGAGTATCGAAATGGCACCTTATGAAGCTCTGTATGGAAGACCGTGTCGTTCCCCTGTATGTTGGGCTGAAGTCGGGGACAGGGCATTGTTGGGTCCTGAAATTGTGCAATTAACAACTGAAAAGGTTAAAATTATTCGGGAGAGATTAAAAGTAGCACAAAGCAGGCAGAAGAGCTATGCAGATAACAGACGAAGGGATTTGGAGTTTGTAATGGGTAGTCATGTGTTCGTGAAAGTCACCCCGTTAAAGGGACATCCGAGATTTGGGAAAAAGGGTAAATTAACGCCCCGGTATGTTGGCCCTTTCCAAATTCTAGAAAGAGTGGGTTTGGTAGCTTACCGAGTGGCTCTTCCGCCAAGTATGAGTCAAATACATAATGTGTTTCATGTTTCTATGCTTCGAGGATACCTATCAGATCCATCTCATGTCATAGACTATCATCAACTTGTGCTAGATGATAAATTAAGCTATGAAGAGAGACCACTTCGAATTTTGGAGCGACAAGTAAAGCAATTGCGCAATCGGGAAATTCCAATGGTAAAGGTGGAGTGGCAAGAACATTATGGCACCGAAGCTACTTGGGAAAAAGAAGAGGATATGCAGCAACAGTATCCATATCTGTTTCCATTTTGAGGTAAAAACAAGTTTGAGGGACCAAACTTTTTTTAATAGGGGGGGAGAGTGTAACAACCCAACCCTCATAGTTGAAG